TGTGTTCTTAAATGTATTATATATGTATATGTATAGAAATGACTATTAAATTGTAAATCACCTGTATATTTCAGTGACCTGTAACTTTGCACGAGTTGTAAAAAGTGGTAACATCTGCATGTATCTTGTTCTTCATAGAAGCCCAAAACAAAGTCAGCCACAAAGCAATATCATAGCAAGCAGCACTACATCATCTGTTTATCTACAGTACATCAGCAAAATAACAACAAAACATACCTAAAATGTACTCACATTTTATTTGCTGAATCCATTTCACTGTCACATTTATAAATAGACAAACATTTATATGTTCCATCACAGTGTCGTACAATTATGCATAGATGTACAACTGTAACAGTGTTAAATTGCTTTATGTAACATGTTTCACAGTTAAACAGCAAACTTTAACATTAAACATAAAAGTAACAAAAATAACATCACAGCAGTGACTATTTCATTAATAAAATAGAATAAAACAGAGCTCAAAATACTTAGAATAGAAATGGCTGACATTAGAACATGCTATTCTGAAGCAGTTTTAAAAACTATATAAGGTGCATTTTATGGCCACTTTTTTTTTCTCTGGTGCATTCATTCAGACAGGCTACATAAACAACCTCAATAATAAACTGGTCTAGAAGTTGTTGCAACTCAAGAAGTAGTTGTTTCTGAGCACACGGAACAACCTCCCACTCTCCAGGCTGTACTCAAACATTCTGGGTCCACTGTAGAGGTATGTGAAACCTGCAGAGTACAGATGTTAGATGTTAGTCAGACAGAGCTGGGTAGCAGCTCTAAGCATTTTCTCATTTCAGTAGTCTTGATTTAGAAAATACTATCAGACTTGAATGTCCTTACCTCTGTGCTGTAAAGCTGCTGTCACCTTGCCGGTCATTCCAGAAAAGGTCTTATCCACCCGTTTGGGGAAACCCTTGTCCTTAGTCTTCTTGGCCTCATCATAACTGGAGAAACAGACAGTAATGAATGATTTATAAAACTTGCTGAAAACCACAATCAACCTACACCTGTCACCTAAATTAATTGCAAGTTCCATGGTTTGAACATACCTGTAGTAATTGTTGCCTACAAAGAACAAAGTCTTGCCAGTTTCTTTATCATGGAGAGCTGCATTCACTTTCTTCACAGTTTTGGGCAGACCAAAAATGGAAATTGGTTTAGGATAGCCACGTACAATCTCATAACCATTGAAAGCCCACACTTTTTGACCTGCAGAGCAATTCACAGGGAAGACTTTTAGTGAATGTATGTAAACATAAATCATGTAAACCCGACAATAGCGTGGCAGTATAACACAAAGAACACATACCTTTAAAGAGTAAGACACTGTCTAATTCTGGGCTCTCATAGGCAGCGTCAATTTTGACAGGGGCATCAGGCCAGAAGTTTGTGATGAGACTTTGCTGAGGTGTATTGCTCTGAGGGTAGCTACGCCAGAAGAAGCTGAAAACACACACAAAAGAACAGGGATTAGTTTCAGAGTCAGATCTTGTATGAATCAAAGTATTTGAGCATTCAGTGTCTGCAATACCTGTCCTTGAAGAAGAGCATCTCTCCTCTCAGGGTGGCAACAGCATCCAAGACCATAGTTGAATCACAGGCATCAGGGGTGGGGGCTCCTGTGGGCCCAGGCTCAACAGGATCAGGATTTGGACCTGCAGGTTTAATAAAATCAACATCACATTGCAAACCATCACTCATTACTTGAAAAGCTATTCTGAAATTTTGGTCAAGTACCATTTGTGCAAACAGGCAGTGATGATCCAGATAGTTAGTAGGCTACTCACCATACAGTGACTGGATGCCCTTGACATCATCCGGGGGCAGAACAAAAGTGTCAGGGTTTCTGTATATGTACATAGGGTACATGAGAGCACCAGGATCTTCAGAGTGAGTCAAGCCCAGGGAGTGGCCAAACTCATGGGCAGCTACCAGGAAGAGGATGTAGCCTAGAGCCAAAGACACAGAATGACAGGTCAGTTACAGCTCCTCTAGAAAAAGTCCAATCAAAACAAGTCATGTGCTGTATGCTGACTTATTTTACGTGAGTAAAATACAACTCTGTGCTGTGTATGAATAACAAATATGAACAAATATTAAATGAATACCTGCGTTTGAGCGAAAAGTGAAGGTCTCATCTTCATCAAAATGAGCATCTCCTCCGATGCCAGCACCCGGAGCAAAGGCATGGGCCAGAGTACCATCAGGGCCATCGAATGGGTAAAAATCTCCATGTGCTGTTAACAAGAATATATTCATGTCAGTTTTGTCAACCAAAATGGTAGATAGAAGGCATTAGTGTAAAATCAGCAAATGAGAAATGGATTTTCAAAATGCATCCTATTACTAAGATTGATCAGCTTGTTAAAGCTAACACAATTTATGGGACATCATAGCCAATAAAATGAAGATAGAATTAGTAGAGTATATAACTGGGAAACACAGGAAAAGCTCTTTGGTACTCACCTCGACTGCCAAAGGAGATCATGATGTCAGCGGTGCCACTGTAGATTCTTGTGAATCTCAGAGGAGTGACTTTGGCCCAGACCTCCAGCGCTTTCTTGAGGGAGTCATCCACCTCTGACACAGACATGTCAGGTGTGTAGTTCTCAATCCTGAAGCACAGAAAGAACATGAATACACTTGACCACATGCTATTCCTACAGTTAGTCTCTAACACATTTTCTGTTCATATCTTTCACCTGTATGTAAGGTTGTTTTTCTCCCACTTGTAGTTGTTTCCAAATGTGGAGTAACCAGCAATGTCAACATCTGGAACACCACAGCGAGGCTTCTTCATCATGGCCAAGGTGTCAGCATCCAGCATCCCGGTGATGGTGAGACCAAAGAATCGTTGCATTTCACCTAGCTTCTTGCTCACTGGGCTGATGCCCCGTCTGACTGATGGACCATTGTCCTCTTTTAGGCTGAAGAATTTCTTCAGGTAGCTCTGTCAAAAAGTGTTAGATAGTTAAATATGCATCAGCTTCATAACCTACTTAGACCTGATGTAGAAAGAAGGTATCCAGTTAATAACAGTAATGTCTTGGATGTGTCTTTAACAGCATAGCATGCAGAATTCCACATGCACTTCAATGCAAAATAGTAAGAGAACATGCACGAAAAGGCTAATTAAACATACATACCTCTGCAAAACCTTCATCTTGCACTGTAAACTGTGATACTGGCAAGCAGTAAACAGTGACTGCCAGGCTCAGTAGAATGCTGAGATTGAGAGTCTTCATTTTTCCTTGATGAATGCAACTTGTGTTTCTGTGCTGGAGGCAGCTGTTTATAGGCTGAGGACTGGGCTTGCTGAGCAACAGTGACTCAGGAACTATTCCTTTTATGGAGAACAGAGGAAGTCATGCTTTGATTGCTCATTGAACAAAAAAGTTTCCCAAAACAAGACACTGTAAACATGATGACGTCAAGACGGATTTCTTTCATGAAACAGGCAACACTTTTTCACATTTTCATCAAATAAAAATTTGAAAAATCTTATAAATCTGCTCTGAAAAAATTTTTTTTTTTCAGATTCACTTTCAGATGTAGCTTTAAAATTTGTTGTAGATGCAAGAAAACCAGCAATACTTATGGATTTTATTGTTTAACAAAAAACAGCAGCATTAACATTAGCAATTTTTGCATGTGTACCAATATCAAAATACTGAAAACAGCAATAGGCATGCGACAAGACTTCCATTCAAGAAACTGCAGTTGATGCTAAAATATTGTCAAATAATCACATCTTACTATATCTTACAGTGCAAAGAAATTTCTTCTGAGGACCGATTGTGTGATTTCATGAAAAGGTCCAGAACAGCCACACTATGTTGATAATGTTTTGTTAACCTTTAAGAAAATGAAGACTGAATCTATAAATTGATTCAGATCTGTGGGAATGAATGAATGAATGAGCAAGGTGGCATGGGTTCTCTCCGGGTGCTCCGGCTTCTTCCCACAGTCCAAAATACATGCTACAGGTAGATTGGTGTGTGTGTGTGTGTGTTTGTGTGTGTGTGTGTGTGTGTGTGTGTGTGTGGTTGTTTGTCTACATGTCAGACTGGCGACCTGTCCAGGTTGGACCCCGCCTCTCGCCCAATGTCAGCTGGGATTGACTGGATAAATGAATAAATAAATAATCAGAGCCTAAGATATAACCTCCCCAGCAGAGGGAACATTTAGATAAGCACATATTGTTCATTACATTAATAATAGGTGGTAGTGGTAGTGTATATACTGAAGCAAAATGTAAAAATTAATGATCATTAGGATGCAGCTGGAGGTACCTGCTCTTTGCATGTATATGACCATTTATTTTGGTGTTTTGTTTTGCTTTTGTGAATAATATGCCTTAGCCCAGGTCTTTTCAAGCCCGTCTGAGCTTTCACACTGTGTTTTCCAGTCTTCATGCTGTTGTTACTTCTGCAAACAAGCACTGACAAGTTCGTGTCCCAGCATTATGATTAAATGCTCTGTTATGCTGATGTCAAAGTAAAAGTTTTTACAGGTAAGGGAGGAAGGGCTTTGAGTCACGTAAACAAAAATATTACCACATTTTCTTTGAAGCTTCATTTGATTTTATAAAAACACTGACGTCAGTTTATTCATTGGTGCTGTACAGCATAAAAAATGTAAATATTTTTCACTTTTAAATGTAAAAAAACTAGCTGTAAAGCTTCATGAGTCAACTACAAGTGGTTATTTTAACATATGTCAGTAATAATACATCACTGATTTGTTTGTGTAAAGTGCATTTTTCTGGTTTCCTAATATTGGACACTGACAGGAACAGCAATGGCTTTGTTGCACAATGGATTGTCTTGGGTTACAGGCCCTCCAGTAGAATGAATGTGTTACAATAAAGAAGCTGCAATTCTTTTTTTTTTATCACAGAAAATATATACATCTTAACAATGCCATCAGTAACCATCAGATCACAGTGACACAGTGATACAAAAATAAAAAGAAAATACATTTTACATTAGTTGTATCTTTGAAAGAAAGGTGGGTAGGTACAATGCAGTACATACAAAGCTATTTAAATGTAAAAAAAAACTAGCTGTAAAATTTGAATAAAACATTTAGAGCAGTTGTAGCATTAGCTTTGCAATGAAACAACACAAAAAATGCTTTAGTATGGTACAGAAGGTATAAATGATATTGCTACAGCACTGTATTAGACACTGACATAACACTTTTAACCACTTCCCTACATTATTCATCGGTTCCCATTTTAGATACATTGTGGTTATTGCTGAAGATAATTTTGTAACTCTTTGTGAATACACACTCACGGCACATACACAGCACCATTATCATCCAGCTACAGAGTGAGATGGAGTGCTTTTTTCCACTTATCTTGTCTCTTGTCAGTATTTCATTGTTGCCCTTCTTGCATCCCTGTTAGCAGGGCTGCTGGGAGACAACACATTTGGACTTGGAGTCATATTTGTAGTGGACATTTCCCTTGAAGAAGTGCATAAACCCTGTAGGGAATCAAGATTTATTTTTACTTTTAAAATGGCTTGGGTATCATTCTGACATAATGACAGACATGACTTGAACTCTGCTTCTCAGGCATAACCCTTATAAACCTGACAAACAATTTCATAAACCCATGTTGGTATAACAACATCTCCACTAATAGGCATAGTAGAGTCTCATGTTACCTTACAGATGAAGAAGGATCATAATCATACACAGTGACATATAAATGTCAACCTCATTATTCTTGGCTAAATATTTACTTTCAATCTATTAAAATGTGCCCAGCAGTAATAAAGTGGTACTTAAAATGTTCAAGTTTAGTTTGAAGTGGGACCAGTTTAATGTTATCTGGAGTAATGTGGACTGATTCTTTTTGAGAGATTTTAGTTTTCTAGAAGAAAAAAAGCATCAACATTTGAGATCACATGATAGTGCGTTCTGGGGAGTAAAAATGATGTTGAGGTGCAGATCCAAGAGAAATCTTTCATTAGTGGAGACAAAGTAAAATTAAAATCCAGCCAAATTAAGCCAAATACCGTTTCTACCGTTACATAGAATTGCAATTACAAAATCATCAGCCATACATAAATTCAAATATACTTTATGGACTTAGAAAGGTTCATTAACCACAGTTGCTTTTGAGTTTGAAAGATTCTCATGTTACTATATCTAACAATGATGTTGTGTATAGAGTAAACCAGACTAGACCAGACCAGCTGAATTGCTTCCCACGTTGTGATGTAATGATGATTTATACATTTCCTGTGTGAGTAAAGCAAAATGGCTTGTTGTAACTGGATTTACTAGTGTATTTCTCATCCAGTGTGGGTACAAGATGCCTTTACTGACAACATTATGATACAACAATCACTGTGGTTTACACAGTGCCTGGGTACCAGGGTTCTGCCTGGTACGGTAGACCCCGGCCTCTATTGATCTTGTACTTAGAGCCTGTTCCTGTGCTGCCAGGATTAGTGCCTCTGTGCCACAAATAAATGCAGAAGAAAATATTAAATATTCAGCAAATTTGTTTTATCCTCTAGAGTCCTGAGCTTTGGTTTCATATGCATTTTTGGTCCTCATATGAGGACGCAGGGACTCTAGAGGTTATTGCATTGAAGTTAATGTTTTCTTCCTAAAGAACTGAAGGTAGAAAAGGAGTGTAACCCTCATAAAAGACAGCTGCATCTATAGTATAGGAGATGTTCCCCCTCATATGCTTCCTCAAAAAGTGTACTTTTTTGGAAACATTGCACAAACTCCCATTCTAGGCATCAAATTCAAAATGAGTGAACATTTGCAAAAAACAAAGTTTATCAGTTTGAACATTAAATATTTTGTCTTTATGGTGTATTCAATTAAATATGGGTCAAAAAGGATTTGCAAGTCATTGTATTCTGTTTTTATTTACATTTTACACAACATCCCAACTTCACTGGAATTGGGATGTTGCTGAATATTTAATATTTTCTTCTGCATTTATTTGTGGCACAAAGGCACTAATCCTGGCAGCACAGGAACAGGCTCTAAGTACAAGATCAATAGAGGCCGGGGTCTACCGTACCAGGCAGAACCCTGGTACCCAGGCACTGTGTAAACCACAGTGATTGTTGTATCATAATGTTGTCAGTAAAGGCATCTTGTACCCACACTGGATGAGAAATACACTAGTAAATCCAGTTACAACAAGCCATTTTGCTTTACTCACACAGGAAATGTATAAATCATCATTACATCACAACGTGGGAAGCAATTCAGCTGGTCTGGTCTAGTCTGGTTTACTCTATACACAACATCATTGTTAGATATAGTAACATGAGAATCTTTCAAACTCAAAAGCAACTGTGGTTAATGAACCTTTCTAAGTCCATAAAGTATATTTGAATTTATGTATGGCTGATGATTTTGTAATTGCAATTCTATGTAACGGTAGAAACGGTATTTGGCTTAATTTGGCTGGATTTTAATTTTACTTTGTCTCCACTAATGAAAGATTTCTCTTGGATCTGCACCTCAACATCATTTTTACTCCCCAGAACGCACTATCATGTGATCTCAAATGTTGATGCTTTTTTTCTTCTAGAAAACTAAAATCTCTCAAAAAGAATCAGTCCACATTACTCCAGATAACATTAAACTGGTCCCACTTCAAACTAAACTTGAACATTTTAAGTACCACTTTATTACTGCTGGGCACATTTTAATAGATTGAAAGTAAATATTTAGCCAAGAATAATGAGGTTGACATTATTGAGGTTGACCACCATAGACACTCGGGCTGGTGCTTGACATTTTTAGATCATCTAGGATTTTGTCCCATATATGCATTTTCATGACCTTATAATCTACCCGCCAATGTGTTAGCAAGCACCTTATTATCTTTGTCAAAGATTTTTTGTTTTACACACATTTTGTTTAAGTGTTTTTTGTTATGGATTACACTGACTATGATGAAAAGCACAAGCTGCAATGCATTGATTAGCAAACTGCTACTCAGGGTGATTCCTGTTTCATCAGACTGTGGATACTTGTAAATCTGAAAGGAAAGAACATTGTCTTAAACTTTGTTTCAGTTATTGTTTTTTTCCTTTATCAAGGAAACGTCAAATGAGTACCAGGTCTGCTGGTCACACTTCACGACATACTGGGACACTTTACATACCTGTCTTTGAAAAACAGGACCTCCTGTTGTAATTCTGTTACAGCATCAAAGGACATATCAGTTTTTGGAGGAGGATTTTTTGACAATAATGGAGCAAAGTCAGGACTGATACCTGAAGGCAGCAGAAGAAAGCAGTTTAAATGCCTTTTAGACAAAAACAA